TTTCCCTGCTCCAGCAGCTTATTCCCAAAAAGGATCAACGAACGGGCAATCCTCACGTCAGCATCTCCTTCTTACAAGCCCAGCTTGAAGCCTTTGGCTCGGTGGCACAACACATGCTTTATAGGCAAAGTGCCCAGGTTCAATCCTGGCTTGTGATGCAGAGAAAAACCCGGGTTTTAAGCTCTTATTAAGGAGCCAGTGCCAATTGGTGGAGATGTCACCTGGGCAACTTGTGATCCAGATGCCAATCTCCTAGAACTTCAAGCTAATTTCAAAGCCTGTGCACAAGGGGGGTAGGCAGGATTGTTTTTGTTTTTTTAAGGCCTGCAGGTTGGGAAAGTGAAGAGAAATTGTGGGAAAAAGGAGGGGTAGCCAATTCATTCTGCCTCATTTGGGGCACGGATAGGACGCTGGGTTGACAAGCAGCAAGTCCACGTTCGAGATCCAAATGCTAACACGGGATGGGGTGAGTTCCCATCATTCCCTCCAGCTCCTGCCGACCTAAAATGTGCATTCACAAGTAGATAAATAGGTATCACTTCGGTTGGGCACATTAAGAGGGACATGAAAGGAGCCCTCAATTGGGCATCCCCCGGGCAAACAGTGATGTCACCGGCTCATCCTTTCAACCTGGAAGCGCCCCAGTGCCTCCGACACAAACGCAATGCGATTTGTTGCTCAAATCTGCCTACTGCACAGCCTTCATTGGAAGTTAGGAGAAACTTCCATTGGTAACAAGCAGTGGTAACAGTTAGTTTTCTGTTTCTTTGTTTAAATAACAATTCAAGAAGGATTTAGAAGTGATGAGTAGCCTTTGCTGGAAGTTTTTAAGAGAAGCTGAATTATAACCGATGCTTTCATTTGGATTTCTGCACTAAGCAGCGGTTAGAATTCAATAGTCTAAATACTGTCCTTCCCACTCCATGATTCTATGATTTACCTCCTTATGGCTTAATAAAAACTGGAAAAAGCAAGGAAAAGATTCTTCCAAAGCCAGTGAAACGGGGAGAGGCTCCTACAGCTGAAGACAGAAGAATGTGATTAAACAGAAGCAAGTCACAAGATGCTGCTACTTCAGATTTTCACCACAGACGCTACCGATTCACCCAAAACAGGATCATCTCCACTAACATCATCAAGATTTTTTTGGGAATTTGCTCGTTCTATCTGGAAACTGCATTCATCTCCTTCCTAGATTTCTGGTCATCTTCAAACAGGGAACATTATTGGTGAGTTAAAATCATCAGACTGGACGGACACTTCTAAAACACGGCTGCTTACCTTCAATCTCAGATATTCTCTTCTCTGTTTCTTTTTCCATTACCTTCTGCCCATACGTTATCTCAGCCACCTGCGCAATTTTTTCTGCCTCTGCATAGGAGAGAAAACATTCCCAATTATTATAGGAGGCAGCAATGATGGTCAATGAAACTAGAATTTCTCGGAACAGAGACGCTGCATTCATTGTATGGGTGTTTCCCCCAAAGGCTTCTTAGAAATGATGACTTGTAAAGCTTTTCAGGAGTTTTTTTTCTCTCTTCTTTTTGGCAAGGTTTTTTTTTCATATTTTAAATTAGGATTTCTCTGCTGATCTCTGATGAAGATTAACTACCCTAGAGGAAGTTACGTTTGTCCCCCGTCATTTCACAAACTACCTGAGTATTTTTATTCTCAGAGAATTCACAGCCTGCAATCTAAAATTATTTTGAGCTCATATCCAGTTCGGATTAGATTCAGTGGGAATAATACTCCCTTATTTATTATATGCACAATGTAGATAGCATACTGAAAAGCAGAGACATCATCCTGCCAACAAAAGTACGTATAGTCAAGGCCATGGTTTTCCCAGTTGCAATGTATGGCTGTGAAAGTTGGACCATAAGAAAGGCTGAGCGCCAAAGAATTGAGGCCTTTGAACTATGGTGCTGGAGAAGACTCCTGCGAGTCCCCTGGACTGCAAGGCGATCAAACCGGTCAGTCCTAGAGGAGATCAACCCCGACTGCTCTTTAGAAGGCCAGANNTTGAACTATGGTGCTGGAGAAGACTCCTGCGAGTCCCCTGGACTGCAAGGCGATCAAACCGGTCAGTCCTAGAGGAGATCAACCCCGACTGCTCTTTAGAAGGCCAGATCCTGAAGTTGAAACTCAAGTACTTTGGCCACCTAATGAGAAGGAAGGACTCACTGGAGAAGAGCCTAATGCTGGGAAAGATTGAGGGCAAGAGAAGAAGGGGACGACAGAGAATGAGGTGGCTGGATGGAGTCACTGAAGCAGGAGGCATGAGCTTAAATGGACTCCAGAAGATGGTAGAGGACAGAAAGGCCTGGAGGAATGTTGTCCATGGGGTTGCGATGGGTCGGACACGACTTCGCAACTAGCAACAACAGTACTTCTTAACCTCTGATTTTGATCTCCCTCTTTACTCTTTTGGAAAATGCAGTCCACACAGACAAAACAGGCAATACCACCTCTTTATGTTCTGCATAATTATACAATAGTCAGACATGATAGCAAGAACTGCACACCAACCAATGAGAGCCTTTTTGCGTTCTGTTTCAGCCTCTTTCTCCACAACTTTCTGCTTCTGGGCTGCAATCAACAGTTTTGTCTTTTCACTCTCCCTAGAGAGGGGACCAAGACAGGCTTTAGCTAAAGGATTAAAATGACTTCCACAACAAATGGCACTTTCAAGTTACTGAATGGATTAGAATACATATGTATACGCACAAATAATAAGCACAAGAGATTCTACAGATGGCTCACACTGAACATTCATTCATTCATTCATTCATTCATACATTCATTCAATTTCTATAGTAGACCATCTCAGTCAATGAGTCTGGGTGGCTTACAATTAAAAAAATATATTACAATTAAAATACTAAAAACATTTTAAAACACTAAATAGGCATACGGGCAAGATACTTGGCTAGTTAGCAATACAGCCAGCAAACGGGGCCCTTAACACAGTGGCCCCCAACCTTTTGGGTACCAGGGACTGGTGCCGTGGAGAGAGGTTTTTCCACGGACTGGAGGGGACGTGGTTTCGCATGCTGCCTGCATCCCGTGGGTGGGGCTTCACTTGTTTGCACGGCCCGGTGCTGATCCATGGACCTCGGTTGAGGACCTCGGCCTTAACACACGCAGTACATAAAACAGCCTGAGAAGTGTGTGTTTTTCCATATGTCATTTGACTGTAACTCTATAGTCCTATAGGGTGTGTGCAATGCACGCACACATGCAGCCACTCTAAAGAAGAGAATTCCAGAAACTTACATGAGCTCATAATTTCTCCGAATTGCTTCTGGGATGTTTGGCTTTGTAACTCGGACTGCCTGATTGAACAGAAAAAGTGAGGATTATGAGGAAAGACTCTCAAAATGACAGTATTAAGAACCACACAACAGGTTGTTCAAAAGGGAAGAGGGATGGCATCCTGAATCTGTGAACAGGAAACTAGTGTGATTGAAGCAGGAAAGGAAACACCAGCTATCAAGTTGGGCAGAGTTCATAAGAGCTTTCAATAACTCCTTGTTTAGATGAGCACCAAACCTTTTATAATCTTATGATCTATTCAGACAGATAAAATTAAGCGTGGAAGTTGCCTAGATCAGAACTTGAGACGCTTCCCTTGGGAGAAAAGATTACAATCCAGAACCAATCTATAACCAAGATTTGGTAGAATCTCTGAACTTCAAATGGGACAACATCAAGCTTAGTTTGCAATTCTGTCCTCTATCCCAGCGATTCTCAAACTCTCTTTCAGGGAGTCCATGAAGTCAACTGAATAATAAATATTTAAATTTTTCTCCATTTTAATAACTAAACATTGCTAGGTCTATCCCGCATTAACCAGAGCTCTTTGGGGTCCTCAGTCATTTTTAGGAATCTGAAGGGGTCCTGAAACCAAAATGTTTGAGAACTTTATCCAGTTTTGCACAAAAATGTTGTCCTTGGGATAAACTCCAGCGTTTTTTGTTACCTGTATGATGAGTCCTGGAGCCATAGATGTCAGATCTTGTTGGAGAGCCAGTTTTAGGTTTTCATCAATCTGATCTAGGAAGGGATAAAGCAAACAGAGCATGAAACAAGAAATTGGGAACAAGCCCATCAGCCCTGTTGGTTCTTTGCCGATACACCTGCATGTGCAAACAGAAGGAATGAAGAGTAGGAAAGCAGTTGCACATGCTCGCCCATTTACAACAAAGGCAATATTGCTGCCATCATGTTAAAAACAGGAGAGAATAGGACACATGGATGACAAGGCACTTATTCCCTGGAAGAAATTATAGGTTATTGCAGGGGTCTTCAAACTTGGCTCTTTTTATGACTTGTGGACTTCAACTCCCAGAATTCCTCAGCCAGCGTGCCTGGCTGAGGAATTCTGGGAGTTGAAGTCCACAAGTCATAAAAGGGCCAGGTTTGAAGACCCCTGGGTTATTTAGAAGCAGAAGGCCTCACTTTCAATCCCAACCCCTTTTATGTCAAAGATCACAGATACAAAATGTACAGATTTTCAAAATTTGCTGAACCTCCAGCAATATTAGCCATGAGCGTGAATGGTGAGGAATACTGGGACTTATAATTCAGCAATATTTTAAGGATATCAGGGCCATCGAGAAGTAAGCAGATTGTAATCTTCGACCACACATTCATATAATCAATACACTTTCCAATATTCCTTTACTGCTAAATAGTTGTAGAGGTAACGTTAAGGAAATGGTGCCAATTTTCACTCCTGCCTCATCAACTAGACCTGCTAAAATTTAGTGATTATAAAACACTAAAGTACAAAACCACTGTTTGTTTTCAATTGACTGGTTTATCGTCTGAAACAAGATGAGGGTAGATTAGTGAAGAATATGTAATGTACTATTATGCGCTAGTTCTGGGTTCAAATGAAATGATGGATCGCACATTGCAACATTTAATTACTTCCACTGAGACTGGCTAAAAGCACCATTAATTTCTTGACTGATAGATTTTGTGTCATCAAATCGGTCTCTGCTCTTAGCACCCACATAGATTTTCTCTGCCCCTAACCTGGTCTTTTGGGTTTTTCAATGCTGCCATTAATGTTAGGAAAGTAAAATCTATTGCGGTGGATTCAGTGATTTAACAAATATGTAAACCCATAAATGCTCTCAAATTATGGGAAAGAGAAAGGAAGACAGCTTAATGAAATTCACAAACCTAACCCTTAAATTCCTCCCATTCTAGAGACATTGTAACCCAACAGTTCTCTTCAGATATTTTAATTCAAGTATTGTGCACGTCCTGGTGAAGACACTCACCAAACAATTCAATATAAACTTCCTGAAGTGTGTGAACACTGCAAAACTGGTTCAGCTCATGGTGGATCTTGTTGAAGATGAGAGCCTTATCATAATCTGCAGTATAGTTCTTCACTATATCGTAGACTAAGGAGAGAGGAAAGGGGGTGTTAAAAAAATTGTGCAGGCAAGAAATGGCATCTCATTTGTTATCACTACAGCCACAGTTTGGGAACAGGAAAAAACTCAGTATTGTTGTCCAGGAACCCTGGGAATTGGGTAATTAAAAAAAACAAACCCCTAATTTTATTTCCTTGGTATGAAATGATCATATGATTTATCTTTCTTCCAGCACAATGGGTGCAGCCAGTTCTCATAATACCTGGGATCCCAAATCCAGCTCTGAGGAGAAAGAGGTTGGCAGTGATAACTTACCCGCACTTTGGATCAGGAAGTTCACAACCTCAATCCTGTCAAAATAAATCATCACTCCTCCACTGCAAAAGAAAAGAAAAGAAAAATCAAATGGGAGAGAGAGGTGAGCATCTGCTGGGATGGGTCACTTGGAAGGAAAGATGTGGAGAGCTGTGCTAATCTCTCTTGGCAAACAAACAAACAAACCAGGAGTTTGGTAACACCTTTTCTGACTAACACTTTCTATTAGAAGGCGTTAGGTTTTTCTCACGTAAGCTGACACCTTTTAATAAAATGCATTAGTTGGGAAAAGGTGCTACCAGACTCCTGATTGAAAGAATAAGGTGTCAAGAGGTAGGCTCAGAAAATGAACTCTACCTGCCCCCAAACACCTGCAGTGGTGCTTTTGTTAAAAAGGGTAGCAATTCTAGATTGATTGATGCACATTAAGGGCACTGCAAGAGGCTTTCCTGTGGATAAGTAAAAGGGAAAATTGCCATCTTGTGGCAGAAGAAGAGCATTCTTCGGACTGATAGAATGAAACCGGGCCTCTCGTGTGCATGGGAAAAATAAAGAACTACTTTATTTACTACCAATAGTAATAGTGCCTTGGGTGCAATCCCAAAACAATTGGAGCACCGCTTGAACACCACTGGCAGTGACAAATTCACCCTCAAAATGGCAAAAGGCAGCTTTGCTTGGAACAGCCTAATATCCCGTGACAGTATCTTTAACACCATCAAGTGACAACAGCTGCCTATCCCAGGTCCTTGGGAAGGACTCGACAGGTGGATAAAAATGCCAAATCCAGTCTGAACCTCTGGCTGTGTGACAAACCATAATAATAATAATAATAATTTAAAAAATTGCACTGAAATAAGATGCCTGCAATTAGAATTCTGCTCAAAGACTTACAACATCAGGATTGGAAAAAAGGGAAGAGTCTGCATTTCCCCCACATGGGCCCCATAAATGGGCAAAAATATAAATAAGGGGTGAAACTGGAACTGAAATTGATGCTCTCTGAACTCGGTTGTTTTCTTGCAGACATTTCACAATGTTACCAAATTGGGGTAATGAAACATCTGCAAGAAAACAAGCAAACTCAGAAAGAACCGAGGATCCCTCATTTCAACCCTGAACTACTAATATTCTCCTCCATCGAAAAGAGAAATGTAAGAAATGATTACATTAATTAGTCAAGCTACATAACTTGGGGTTGTTTTTTCCCCCAGTGAAATAATTGCAGCTTTGAATGCCAAACATCCTAGTTCCAGGTTTCAAGACCGAGAAACCAACTTTAGCTGAGCCATCTTTAAATACAGAGCCCTAGACGTAGTTCCATCTCTGACCTTCTAGCCCTATCTTGCCTTTATTATTTTTATAAATAACTCAAGGCAGCGAACATAGCTACTCCTTCCTCTTCCTATTTTCTCCACAACAACAACAATCTTGTGAGGTGAATGGGGCTGAGAGAGATTGACTGGCCCAAAGTCACCCAGCTGGTTTTCGTGTCTAAGGCAGGACCTGGTTTTTAGCCTCGTGTCTTGAGCGAACATAGCTACTCCTTCCTCTTCCTATTTTCTCCACAACAACAACAATCTTGTGAGGTGAATGGGGCTGAGAGAGATTGACTGGCCCAAAGTCACCCAGCTGGTTTTCGTGTCTAAGGCAGGACCTGGTTTTTAGCCTCGTGTCTTGAACCCTAGACCAGGGGTAGGCCACCTTGGCTCTTTTATGACTCGTGGACTTCAACTCCCAGAATTCCTGAGCCAGCATGGCTCAGCTTGGAAACCTCTCCCTTTCCCCTCAGCATGGCTGGCTCAGGAATTCTGGGAGTTGAAGTCCACGAGTCATAAAAGAGCCAAGGTTGCCTACCCCTGCCCTAGACCAAACTGGTAGGTCCATAGAAAGCCGAATACAGGATCATAGATGCAAGATGATTCCATTTCCCATTTGCATCATCTTATCTGAAACCAGCAAAAATAACAGCACCACATTTTCCAAGAGGGAAGCACTAATCCAAGTTACAAAAAAAAAATCCAGATTTATGTAGGTTAAAGCCTCCCTGGAGAAGATAAAAGCAAAGAGATGGCAGATTCACCGATGGGTGTGTGTGTGTGTCCAACCTCACCTTGTGCCACATGGAACATTCTTTACTTCATCTGTTTGTAAGGTGGTCTAGAAAGCAGAAAGAAAGATGATTATTAAGCAACTTCTGCAACAAGAAAAAAAACCCCTTTTTTCTGGAATGGGGATGGGCCAAATTTGGCAACTGACAGTCCCATAACCTTTCAGAGGGGATAAACAGCAGCAGGAAACCAGGTAATGTGGCATCAAGGAGGTCACAACTGTGAAGAGATTCATCTTTTTATTTTTCTCCCTGACTTGGAGGAAGATGTTTAAATTGTTGTGCTACAATTTATTATTTATTGGTGCCAAATTATGTTTCTTGTCCCAGTGGAGCAGAAGAATAATATTGGGCAGTGCAGAGCTCCATGGGCTGCAAAAAGTGGCCCTGGGGCTACCCATCTTTGCACAGGGGTTTGTATAGCATTGGTCAGTCTCTTTGGCTCACCTCAGGTAAATGCATCTAGCTCTACCTGACTATCTTAGCCCCATCTTCTCTGCAACTTATCTGAGCCAGAAACAGACTGGCCATTCCAAAAGTTGCTTAACACTAGTTCAAGACAAATATATTCAAGTGCTGATTGAGCAGGTCTTGAAGATAATCTCTTTCCCCTATTGTGAAAAAGTGGAAGGTCTTGTTTGAAAACAGGTTTCAAATTTTCAGATAAGAAAAAAGGAAAAAATGTGAAGGAGTCCCATGCAAAGAACAACTTCATTTGAAGATCTGCATATGCTCATTACAAAATTCAGAGGTAAAATTCCCTTTAACAACCCAGCACGCCACTGAAAGGCTTAATAAAACATAGCAGAAAAAAAACAAACGTATTATGGGACAATAAAATAATAAAGGGCAGTTAAGATCTAAGTCAGTCTGGGAAGTAGATAATAGGAAAGAAAAATAAATAAACTTTATTGCCAAATGGCAGTGTCCCACACACATGAAACCAGCTTTTCTACTGGAGTGACATAAGAATTAAACAAATTGGAATAATAAATAATGTTTGTGTCACAAGCTCGCATACATCTTGTCTGATTTATATGGATTATGTATTATTATTGTAAACCGTTTGAGATGGATGGCTATATAAGTTTGATTAATAAATAAATGTGGAGTTTATAGCTTGCTACGCTAATGAATGATGGTTACTGCAAACCAGAATTCCTGGTCATGGAAAGCAACTGGAAATCAAAACTGTAAGTATTCTAATTTTCCTCTGAAGACAAGCTAGGATCAGCCAGTTTCAGACTAAGCTATGATTATCACGAATGGGGAATTGAGATCCAAGAATGAAAGGTTACATTACAAATTTAAGCATGGACACAATTTC